TTAATCACGACAAAGAGAAAAGTCCCGCAAAGTGATATTCACTCCCGGGTGTAATGAACGACCGAACGTAGCGCAGTATGAAAAAAAGCAGAGGAAGCCCTCATTTCATCCGTTTGAAATTTATTTTATACAAAAGAGACGAAAAAAAAAACAGCGGAGCGAGTTTGAATATGCAAAAGCAATCCTCGCGTTTTACCAATTTTCAACGATCCGCCGACGCCGACATCCCTGTGGGAAGAAATGCAAATTCGACAAAGTTCAACATGAGTGATCTGAGTCGATCAAATCAAAAAGTTTGATTGTCGATTTTTTTCGGTTTCGTTTTAATTTTTCCCGTCGAGGTTCTCCCCTCTCGGTTCCGGTAGCACTCCAAGGGGCAGCAGATCGATCTATCGACTCGATCCGAACATCCGCATCCTAGCAATGATAAATATCGATTGAGGCCGCATCGATAATGACTCAGTGGTCGACTCGCTGCGCCGCGCGGCTATCCCTTCTCCATGCACTCGAAGCCAATAAAAATGCTAATTCGGCCCCACAAGCGCGGATCGCACGAGTCGGATCCAACCAGATATCATCAATTGGACGTATCCGAATCAAAAGCTACTATATCAAGTCTGATATGAGCCCTAAGATCCATGAGAATACATGCATGACAGGGCTCATGTCACAATGATATAGTTTCTTCTGACGTAAATAAATCCAATGGGACGTATTTCTGTCAAACGGAACTATGTGCATTATGACGTGAGCCCTGTTATGTATGTATTCTTATGGGTATCAGGGCTCATGTCTTAGTGCTTATAGTTCCGTTTGACAGAGATGCGTCCAATTGTTTGTCCGTGTTTTGATATTCCTGTCAGAAAATCTCGAAGCGACCCATCGGGTTTCGGTGCAGAACACGCTTTCGTTGAGTTGGACATCGTCCTTAAGATGGCTGAGCGCAAAAATCACTTTTTGACTCTTTCTCTGGAGCGTTTTCAGCGGATAGCTCGAAGCGAGGGACTCGCGGAGCTTTTCCGACTCGAAAATCGCACTCAGGCGGTCAATTCTAAGCGAACTTACTTGGTTTCGGATGCGATTGTCGAACTTTTGATTTTGACCCTAAAAATTTAGTCCATGTAACCCCTGTCGAATTTTCTCGATTTGGGACTTAGAAAAAAATGTCGAGATTTCAGTCGGATCCTACGTAGTTGGAGTCGTAGAATCGATTTCGCACGGTCACGACGAAGCTTCTTGAGCTGAGAAAAAGTTAAAAAATGGTCAAAAACGAGCTTTTCCGACCACTTTCTGACTCTTTCCCTGTAGCGTTTTCTGCACGGAGAAAAAAAGTTCGGCGTCAGCTACCGAACTTCGGTTGCCTGTGCCGCTACGATTGGTTCATATGGAACACCAATTATAGCAGTTCACTGAACTCCAGTTCTTCGGTAGAACGAGCCGAAATTTTTCGGTTGTCAGCACGAAGTTCTCGGTCCGGGGAACCGAACTTCGGCTCATCGTGCCGAAGGCTTCTGTACACCTAACCGAAATTCTTGGATGCATGAATCGAAGCCTAGTGGATCTTATCAAGGTTGCATTAAATTCAGGGGGCTCTTATTGCTCTTAGCCAGGGGAGGGGGCCTTTTACCCAACCCCCCACAAATAAATTAAAAAAAAAAAAATAAATAAAAAAATAGGAGGGTATTACAACGCCTGAACAACGATTTGATGGGTAGAAATTTTTGCCTACATCGGGGATCGAACCTAGAACCTACCTAACACTAATCGAAGACCCTACCTACTGAGCTATGCCGGACGCTTGGGGGGAGAGGCGAAAAACTTGCATTAATCTTCGAATTGAACTGTGGACAACCAGGATATATCTAAGTTACATGGATTTGTTCGTTATTTTATTTTATTCTATTATTTTACTTCATTTTACTCTCTCTATGGAACATGAAAAAATGATGAAAATTGAAAAAAAAAAAACCTCAGATCAGATAGCAAGGAAAGGAACGAGGATAGAATACATACTCAAATTATAAACGCACATTATACCGTTATCAGTTCCCAAAGTTCACACCAGATAATATCTTATGCTCAATTTCAAGGCATTTTTTTAAATGATAACAATCACTGCACCTAGCAAGGTACAAACAAGAACATAAGTTAGGTAGATAGCAAATAGATAATATTAGGTACGAAAGGTCTACTAAGTATATAATTACATTGAAAGTGCCCAGCATAAGGAACCATTTGTTATCACCAATAAATAAAATATGTACACTCCCTTACACAAACATAACAAATTTAAAATCATATCTACAATTGAAAGAAATCACAGGAAAGGAGGACTCAAGCTTTCCTACACCGCATCATTCTCTACAAATGTAAAACTTGGCTATAGGTACTGATAATGTTGGAAATAAATGGATCAATTCTCCCGCAGACTTCCAATTCTCTACTCTTGACTCCTTAATAATAGCCAAACCAAAACAAAGTATGCAGGGAGACAAACATGAAGCTGTAACCGTTTCCATGAAATCTAGACATAATATTAACACTGCAACTGATAATGGGGCCATGTTAAGTTAGTGCATAAATTTACTTACAGACTTCTCATCCGTGCCAATCACTGTAGCTCCGTAGTCTGCGCTACGAGTTCTATGGGTTGAAAGTGTACATCGAAGGATATTCTGCTAATGATCAAATTATAGTTTCGCAATTTAATTACAGTAAAGAGCTGGAAACTATAATAATGAACGATGCAGGCTTTGATGTTTCGCAGGAGACGAAAGAATAAGTTAAAATAAAATAAATCACGGTCAATGATAACCTTTCAGCAAATTGGAAACACAAATTCAACTTTGTGAACTTTTCCACATACTTGAGGGTGACTAGGACTAAGCTATACAGAGAGAACCGAGTCATTTTTGGACAAAAGTAAGGTACATGAGATGAGAGTAGAGATGACCGTCTCTGGTCAGAAATTTAAAGTTGAGTATAAACATTTTGAAATGTGCAAATGGGCAATGAACTTTCCCTCTGGCATACCTAAGTCTCGTAAAGAAATTAAACTTCAAACCTGTCTTCTACCATTTGATCTTAGTTCCTTTCCTAGATTATAAGCGGATAAGCGAAACGATTTTGTAGGTTAGGTCGATAAGAGAAAAAACAATTGAGTTCCGGCACTGAGAGAAGCTATGAGCTGATTTCTAAGTCGATATTCGAAGTTAAATGTATGATTAATGAGTCACTTGAGAAACAATTGTCACTTTGAATTCTACAATTGAGAGAAAACAACAAATGATACGCACTTTCTGAAGTCCAGCCGAGCTGGATCAAGGCATTCAAGCGGACGGCTTTTACTTGCAAAAGTTAGAAATGGATAAGAATATGCTTTCGTGTGTGTTTGAAGTGTACGATAAGAGGAATTCGTAAACTCACATCTCGCAATCTTCGGATCGTACGCACTACGTAGTTAGTTTTGTTCCGAACGGAACGATGCACGTCGCGCTTCGCGCACTGGTTTGCGGAGTCATCAAATTCCTGCGTTCAGAGACAGAGAGCGCTAGCGTCGTTCCCTGTCTGCTAAAATCTTCGGTCGCTTGATACGAATACCCAGTCGGCAAAACGAAAAACTTCGGGACGGAGAACGAAAAATGCTCAGATCAGCAGTCAAAGGCCAATTTGGGACCACGGTGTGTTATGCCGAACACGCCCGCATACGCCCCCGAATATTCAGTTCCTCACGCCGAAGTCGGGCCTACCAAACCGGTCGGCGCAGATCCCCGAACTTTTTTTCTCCGTGTAATAATCGATACATCGCAAAGCACGCCACGCCACTGGTAACTACATTTCGACACAAAAATGCGAAGTAGGTGAAACAGTTGGTAGAAGAAAAAACTTCTTAGTGCCAAAAGACAATTACTTTGGGAATCTGCAGAGGCTCAAGTTGACATCTATGCGCCGTCTTCAATGGCTTTTACGAAAAATATGCATTTTTAAGTTTCCGAGTTGGTGTGTTTTCGATTTCACAGTCACAGATTCGTATGGTTTTTAACAACTGAAATCGCAGTTCTTGTCAATTTATATCGAATGAGAATGGCAAACATATCCTTCCACAGTAAACGCCAAAGACCCTGTAAAAAATAAGGCACGAACTTAAAAGCCTTTTCGCCTCTATACGACGTCACTTTTTCGGAACCACTGCAAAACGGAGCAAATAAAAATTCCTGTAAGTTTATTTTTTTTCCGACTTTAGTCTGGGGTCCGCCCACGTAGGCGCATTGCACAGTGGTTGACATAAACTTAACTTGTTTAAGTTTTAGGTTATCCTCCGCCGTCATTCTTTCGTGCACATCCCCTTTGTTTGTTCGCAGAAGTCGAGGAAAAATGTTGTCACATTTTCGCAGATCATCACTCTAAAATCATCTCTCCAATACTGCCGGGCTAAGGAAAAACGCCGTATGAACATCCGAGAATTGCCAAATTTCTCCTCTTGAAACATTAATTTTTGAGGCAACTAATTATTATCTCCTCCTGAAATGCTCTGATACTTCAGATCACATCGCGAAGAAAATTCTTTGAGAAAGTGGATGGAAAATTTTCACAAGTTTTCCCGCAAATTTGAATTTTACCAAAATAAATTTGGCAACACACGAAGGTTCATACGGCGTTCTTCCTTAGCACAGCGGAATACGAGTATACCGTTTAAAGCCCTCTCTCCTGTACTTTTGCAACCCTGCGCATTATATGCAAACATCAGAAAGGAGGGGGGGGGGTCGCGGCTCCGGATAGAGTTTTTAGTCGTTACGTTTTGCAAAGCAAATTTTAGCGAACATAAACCCTGGTTTACGAACTCCAATAAAGCGCCGTCGCGTGGATCAAATACCGATCGACTCGCTCGCAGTTTATTTCCATGCTCGCGATTTTTGATGTTGGATGGTGTTGATTTTTGCTACTTTTATTCCGTCGTAAATTTGCATTTTAATTATGATTTTTGTTTTGTTTTGCTCTGCGCAGTGTGCCGCTCGCAGCTGGATCGAGGCCACCTTTCAAAAGCGGGACTGTGTCAAATTCATCCCCAGCCCTACTGATGAGCACAGGTAATGAAAATAGCTTTTATTTCTTGTATTACATATCGACGGTGAAACTACCAAACCACGTATCTCGGTTTGCGACGTCGCAGACTTCCTGTCATTCTTTATTTTTTAAATGAAAAACTACTTAAGATCCAGTCTTGAAAATTTCTGTGATTTTTCCTCTTTGTGCGGAGAAAATTCCGTGAAAATTTCAAGGAATGATATTGATTTGGTTTACTTCAAAAAAATAAAATGTGAGCGTAGATTTTTAAACACTGCAAACGGGATACGTGGTTTGGTAGTTTCACCGTCGATATCACTGAGAAAAAGCTATGGTTTATAAACCTATTAGTGGTAAATATGGAACACCTATAATAGTCGTAAATAAACTAATGATTCTCGGTCTGTGAACCATACTAAGGTCTCTGTACCTAATTAAGGTACAGAGACCATAACTAAGGTATATGTGCTATTATTATATGTAGAGGTACTACTATTAGTGGTGTTCCATATTTACCTCTAATAGGTTTATAAGCCATAGTTTTTTCTCAGTGTGGAACGCATTTGGAAAGAAGGAACCAGCGAAAATACAGTGTTGTCCACATGTTGCTTCTTCATAATAATCTAAAAATTCTCCCAGAATAGCAAATACTTTTGGTCTACCACCGAAAAATTGTCCATTTTAAGAAAAATAATTTCGTAAATTTTAAGATTTTACTATATTGGGTATTTTTTAAAAACAGACGGAGTCGAACAATTTTGACGCTGGTTCCTTTTCGCTAGATGCGATCCAAATGCAGTTACTTTCTTTCGCGAGAGTAGCGACGATTTCTTTCTAATTAAAATAAAATAGATCGCATTTAGCAAGAAGGAACCAGCGCAATAGCAGTGTTGTTAAAACGTTGCTTCTACATATTTATCTATAAAAAATCTCCCAAAATAGCAAATAATGGTAGCGTCCCACCAAAAAAATTGTTAATTGTAATGGAAAATATTTGTGTAAATTTTAATACTTCACTTATATTTATTACTTTTAAAGGAAAAAAAGAAGTTGTACAATTTTGGAAACACTGGAATCTCGCTGATTCCTTTTTGCTAAATGCGACACAAATATAGTAGTTACTTTTTTTCGTGAGAGTAGGATCGCAGTTAGCAATGTTTACAAAATCGTGCAACTTCTTATTTTTCTTCAAAAATACTCAATAAATGCATTCAAATTTACACGATTATTTTCCTTTAAAATTAAGAATTTTTCGGTGGGAAGCTAAAACTATTTGCTATTCTGCGGGCTGATTATTGAAATCGATAGACAGAGCTATAGACAAAGAAGACATAGGGGGTATGGAGCGATCCTATTGGTTGAAATGTGTGGGTCTTATAGACAAAGGGAGAAAATGATTGACTAGCTGTCGGGTTTCTCGTGGGTTGCCGTTAGTTAGTCTATTGCCTACTGCCTTTGTCCATTGCAACCACCAGCTTCCACCAATAGGCTCCCTACATATCCCTTTTGTCTTCTTTGTCTATAGCTTTGTCTATCAGTTTCAATGATCGGCCCGCAGGTAGATGTTTTAGACAGTTATAATGAAGCAGTATTTTTACAACACAGCAATCGCGCTGGTTCCTTTTTTGCTAAATGCGATCCATTTCTATCAAATGAAAATAAAATATTTTGATATTGAAAAAAACTGGCGTTCCCTGACAGGAAGCTCCCCGACACTGACTCATCAGTTAGAACATCCCGCGCACTCCTAGATAATTCGCGGGAAAGGCGAAAAATTATTTATCCTAATCAAAACATTCGTAACAATAAGCGGGCGCAGCGGATCGAGGCATTTAATTTCCTCATCGATAGGCCTGTTAATTTCCCGTCGAGTGCACCCTCGCCGTATTTATTCGCCCTCGTTCGTTCATTTTTCGAGATATTTTTTTCCGCGGAGAGTGATTCGAATCCGCTCGAGCCCAATAAATGGAATCCCTGAATGATGAGTCAGTTTATCTTTCCCGGAATGGACATATTGTTCACAGTTGGCAAATGGAACCCCGCGCCATTTTGTGAGGGAGAGGAATTATTCCGTCGAGTAAAAGTTTACATGAGATTGTGGGGTTTTTTTTCTGTCATGTATTGCTCAGGGTGGCAAAATTTCATGAAAAATAAAATCTTGAAATTCAACGTTGATATTTAATGCAATTTCAAAAATGCATGAAAGATATCGAAAAATACCGGCTCCTTTTCATGTTTCGTAAAATGTTAAAATTGTGACTTTCTTCTATTCCTGTGTGTTTGAGTGCGGGTTGCATACCCTAGCCTCTGAAAAATATGAAATATTTCAAAACCTCGGGAAATTTCATGAAATATTTCACTTAAATTTATAATCTTTCATTTCTTTCTTACGTTTCATGCCACCGTGGTCATGTCAGTTATCTAAATATGACCATGGAAAAAAATAAAATTAAGCAAATGACAAGACATATTTGATTTTTAAAAAAGTCAAACCTACTAAAAAAAGTGATAGTCGTAAAACACATAACTTGACACACTATGACACAACGAAACAACACTATGAAAACAACGGAAAAGGGAATAGTAATTAGAGAAATAAAAGCTGTTCTAAAAATAACATCCGTTAGAACAAAAACTCTGTTTACAATAAGTCAAGGTAACTTAAAAAGCGTAATATTAATTATAACGGTTTTAATAACTGTATTTGTTCGTTTTAATACCTTAACTTAAACCGCTCAACCGTTCAGATAATTCTCTGTCACTCTTCAGTCGCACATATCTTAACTGCAGGATCGAGAAACTCAGCTCGCATTTGGATGCGAACAGTGGCGAGGCGTTAGTCATCGATTATCTTCCGAATCTCTGAAGCTGTAGTAAAGAATCGATTATCAGGATGTTCGTCGCTAACACCCTGTTTATCGATCTTTTTCCGTGGGTTTAAATGACAGATCCATCGATATACCGCAAAGCACGCCACGCCACTGGAGGCGTGGATGTTCGATTATCGATATTTCTCCATTTGAAGCTATGGAAAAGAATCGATTATCAAGGTGTTCACCCTGTTTATCCATCCTTTTCCGTGGGTTTAAACGGCAGATCAATCGATATATCGCAGAGCACGCCGCGCCACTGGAGGGATGGAACGGGGCCGATAACGCGGGAACCCCCTGCCAATAAACTGTCAGGATAATCCGCGGCATTATCGCCTGCTCATTATAATCCGGGCGTCCGGGACAGCGACTTGGGTCAGCCCGGCTGAAGTTCTTGTTCCCGGGGAAAATAATGCGCCCGGATTAATATGATAACCTCATCTGCAATCGGGCCGCTTCATTACGAGGGATGCAGGAATTATTGCGTGTTGTTGCGGGGTTATTGCATGTTATTTATTCGTCCTCTGCGACGCACGGTGGATCCAGTTGTCGCAGGCAAATAGTAAAATCAGGTATTTTGTTAAATGCCTAGGCAAATGCACTGGAAAAAAACGCATTGGATCTAGAGTCCAGACGCTTAAAAACATCAACAAGAAAAAGTACTCTTGATTCAATCAGAATCTAGCTTAAATCAAGAACTAAGCCTCTTAATTTAAGCGGATTTCGTTTTGATTCAAGCAAAAATTCGATTGAATCAAGAGTATTTTTTCTTGTCAATATTTTCAAGAGTCTGGACTTTAGATCCAATATGTTTTTTTCCCAGTATGTGTTATGGCAAAAAAACTTGTTTACCTTGGGACAACGGCAACGCTTTTCAGAATTCTTTTGCAAATATTATCAAGAACTTAACTTGAAAATTCAAGGTGCTTGGGTAAAACAGTCTTTATGTTATAAAGTATTAAGCTCCAAAAAACGAGGGAAAATCTGGATGGATTTACGGCGTTCTTGCTCAGCACGGCAGAATACTGCCGTGCAACGCAAAAACGCCGTAAACGCCATTTTACATTTTTTGGAAACAATGTGTCATAGCTAAAAAACCTGTATGCTTTGGGACAATGTTTTTACAAAATTCATGTCCGACCTCTTCTATTAGTTCGTCCTACTGTGTGACGGTGCAAACTGCAGGGTGTTTTAATCGTCGCATGCCTACAGTTCGACTCTCGTTCAATTTGATTTTAGGAGTTTCGTTGTTGGAGGCTAGGAAAACATCCGGAATGATATGATTTGGACCGCGTTTAATAGAAAGGAACCAAGCCACATCAGCTATTGCCAAATTTAATTGGGAAATTTGATTTTTTACATGCAAACGGTTGTGCAGATTTTCGTGCAAATTTCGTGAATTTTCTCCATAGTACGAAGCAAATTCATTAAAAGTTTCGAAAAATCCGCAGCAACAACGTTCTCCAATAAAAAATTAAATTGCCCATTTAAATTTGGCAATAGCTGATCTTGCTTGGTTCCTTTCTGTTAAACGCGGTCCATTTGGGCCGGAATTTTTTTTGCCAGTTTTCCTACGGCTGAAAGTTGCGGTAGGAATAGCTCGATCATAGCCTCTTCATTCGATCGCTGATTCATTTTGAGGATGGCTCAGGCGTGTAGTAAAAACAGCTCAGCTTGCAAATGGTTTAAATATCTTACTCTGTGTAATAAAAAATTGCGAATAATGAAATAAAGTCGTAACGCTTAACGCCTGAGGCGCGACACGCTTCGGATGGTCGGTCCAAGAAACGGTCGGGGGGCGTTACTCCCTAGTTGATTTCATTATTTTTGAAATGACCCCAATGAAGGCATTCAACAGTCAAAGTGCAGTGTGAATCGCATGAGATAAAAAACGCCTTCAATTAGCCGTGCCGCAACCGTCACCTACACTAGAGTACGAATAGTTGCTTGTTTAAAGTTGCGAATGTTTGCTCAGACTGGAACGATTTACAGCTAGTTCAGCTAATATAAAATAATGACAGTAGCGCGTAACGCCCAAGGCGGAAAACGCTTCGGGGGGTTCGACCGTGAAGTGGTCAGTTGTCAGTAGTTTCGTAAATTTATAGATTTTCACTAGGGATTTTCTTGAAATAATTAATGGAGGAGGGGATGTT